ACGACTGAAAACTAGCTCAATCTGACTCAGACAACTTACAGGGGCTAAATTCGTAAAAATATCTTCTGTTTTTTTGTTTGGTCACAAAGGACTATACTGTAATTTCATACCACTTTTAGGTTAGATTTGCATTTGATTGAAGTTTGGGTCTAGTATTGGGGTTAAAACCAAGTTGTAGGTTAGTTTTGGCAAAAACCCCAAAAAAAATTCACATTAGACCATCTCCAATGTATTTTGTTATTTTCACTCTAAAATAAATAAATTCTATAATAAAGATATTCTCCAATATATTCTTCTATAATAGCATTATCTAAATATAGAATAAAAATAGAGAATTGCTATTTTTTTCTTATATAAATAGAGAAAAAAATAGAAATCTCTATTATAGAGAAAGAAATAGAGGTTGGTTGGAGAAATTTCACATTCAAATGCCATTATAGAGATTAAAATATCAATGGGTTGGAGATGTTCTTAGTTCTTAAAATTTTCAGTATATAGTGGTCTTAATTTTAGTAATAATAATTTGTTTCTTACATAAACTTTGATTGATATTTCTATTTCAAGAATGATGGTGTTTTAAATAATATATTAATATTTTTAATTATTTTTCAAATAATAATAGTTGTAGTTAATTAAAACTTATAGAATTGTGAACCTTCAATATTATTTATATTGTTTAAGGAAAATTAAAGACAAAACAATTAAAAATGTTAAAAGTACACGACATCAATAAATATAAATTATTGATAGTCAGATAAATATCAAATATACTACTCAATAAAACATCAAATATGTTTACTTTATCATATATGGTTTGACTATTGTCGTTATGTTTAAAATCTGAAACTATGGACTTGTAGTGACTCTTGATAGTGTAATGTATACTTGTAAGACTCGACTTGGAAAATATAGACCAACCTTTTAAGGTTTAACTTTAACTTTTGTTGATATTCATTGCATAGCAAACTAATAAAAGAAATTAACGTCATTTCAGTTTGAAAGACCATCTTGCATATGTTGGTATGAAACTTATGTTAGGAATAAAAATCTGTTTTTTTTTCATAAAACTTCTGGTCACGATTTCTACTCTAGTAATCATGTTGTGTAGGTCAAATTATTAGTAATATTGTATATATCAAAGTCTTTCTCTTTGATTTCAATTCTTTAGTAGCATGACCTACAATATTTCATTTCAAA